GTGCTGTCTCCTTTAAACTTAAAATACCCTCCTTACCCCATCTTCCTTCAGTCATACCTAACATGCGATGGTTGCCAATCTCCTCACTAACTTCACTAACTGGAACCTTTTCCCGTAGATGGACTCCAGTTTATCTTAAATGCTGGTACTCAGGAGTAAACACAACAAATCCAGGTGTGGTCTGGCCAGGATGAATAGTAGAGTCCCAGTCCAACACCACATAAGTCTATGTAATAGGTTTTTCGATTGGAACCATTTTAGTCTCAGTTTCAACTGAGGTCACTAGAAAATAAATATCACATTCCAAAGTGAGTTGAGTGACCCCAGGCAGGAGTTGCAAAAGAAGAATCTTAGAACCAGTTTTGCAACATTCGATGGACCAGCTATCTCCATCCTGCCCTCCCCAGATCTCCCAAAAAAACAAGCTTAAGTCCAAGAAAGGAGATAAATATTAGAAACTATTTCTGGAGAGAGCTATTGGTATATATTGAGTCCCACTTCCCTGTCACCATGGAGGAGGGTGAGAGTTCCTGTACCTCACTTTAAGCCTAGGGCAAGGAGTCAACTCGTCTACTCCTAAAGTCTGGGATTTGTTCCCTGGATCTGGAGAGACGTAATGGACTGCTGTATGTCGTAGGCCTAAGAAATTCAAAGGGCAGGGATGGTGGCAGGGGCATTGCTCTGAGGTTTGCATCATGACTGTAAGCCCATTGACTGGCTGCAACGGGCTTGGCCTATATACAGGAGCACGGATAATTACATCACTGGAATGAGGCTGGCTCTTTGTGCCTTGGAATGAGCAGAATAATTTATATTACCTAAGAATTTCAGCATTGTCATGAGACTTACCCTAGATTTTATGCAAGAGGCAAGGGAAGAATTGACCTAAAGTGAATGGGTTTGAAAGGACCATAGGTGACAAAAATAAAATTGCCTCGTGATTACAGCTTTCTCTTCCTCTATGTTCAATTTACTAAGTTGTTTTATATATATATATATATATATATATATATATATAGGTACACATATATATATGTATACCTATATATAGCCACACACACATATATATGCAGACACAAAAGCATATGCATACATATACACACATATGTATACATATGGCACATATGTAAAAGAGCAAGGTTGTAACATAAAAATAATGATAGCTATAGTTTATTGATTATTTTTTTCCAGGTGCTATATTAAGACCTTTACAATTACTTATTTTTCACAGCCATCTTAGAATTCATAATTCTTGTTTTATTGAGCAAGGTCTTAAGTAGCTCGCCCAAAAGCTCACATATGTTAAGCGGCTTAGCCTGAACTTGGCTCGGCCTGACTCTGAGGTCCAAGCTTTGAACCACCAATTTATTTTGCCATTAGTTACAGTCAGCATGGTTTTGACAACAGCAACCGATTTTGTTGTGTAGGTTTTTCCAGTGGGAACTAGGCAATTAAAAAGAAGTGAGAAGATTATTAATAAGATGTGATATCAATCAGCTTATTCCTTCTAAGGACTCGTATTATTATAATGAGTATAGAAGGAACAGTTTGTGACACTGACAGAAACAGCAGAGTTAACTCAAAACAACTTGCTATTATTCTCAACTGAAAATGCAGACCTGCTTCCACCTGCAGGCCAAAGGGACAACTGCAGTATTTCCAGTTGCACAATTACCTCCATTCATAGACCAACGGTCAGGGTGCTAGGCTGAGGGCGCCGCTCACCTCATCACCAGGTGGCTCTGAAGCTTCAACCAGGAGTAGTGCAAATACTGGGCAAGTGGGGACACAGTGCATATGAATTCACCAAAATATCTTGGGGGTCATGTGGAACAAAGAGCTCTGGAGCTGCAAAGATGATTGAGTCACTTCTGCCAGCCTATCTTGAGGGTCCCTGATTCAGAAAGAGCAAGTCCAACATTATCTCCCCTTCTGTCAAATGTGGGGCATATGAGGATTAAACTAAACTCAACATCATATACGCCAGGCAGAATATTAAGCACTTGGGATGCATTGGTGAGCAAAACAAATCTGGCCTCCTGGAGCTTAGATGAGATAACGCATTTGAAAATATTTTGTAAACACTTCTAAGCCATGGGCATAGTGATAATTGTCCTTTGTGTTTATACTACACTGGGAAACCCTGCATATTTATAACTAATGTGCTTGTGTACTAATATTGGGAGTGGTACTATACCTTAAGGTTGTATTCAGAGTTACCTGAATGGAGCTCTTCACTTCACACCATGAGCCTGGCTCTGGTTCACCCACTGTAGCTTCTCAAGGACAGGGACTAGATTTTCCATCTTCTGTTTTCTCTATGTCCCCAGGATCTAGCATAGTGCTGGAGTCAGAATAGGCTTCCATAAATGTGTGCTGAATGGAATGGAGCTAAACTAGGATTGAAGTGATAAACCTAAATATTGGAGTCTTAAGCATGGGCAGAAAGTGAAAGTGCTTTGCCTATATAGACTTCTGAATGATTTATTCTGCATCTGCATCCTCCATCCTCATCGCTCCCTGTACATTTATCTCTACCTCAGAAGTACACTCACGTCCCACCTATGAAGTCCTTCACCCATGAAGTTCTTCCTACTCTGTTAATCTTCATGACTTTCAGCTTCCCTTTCTCGGATCTCCTACCACACTTTGGCCTCAGCCATGGAAATTAACACTTAACCATGACTGTCTTATGTTATTCTCTAAAAGTAGTAAACTTTGATTTGGTTCTATAGTTGCATGAATAGTTCCCCCGCCCTCAACCACATACGATGTGTGGTACAATTTGGGAAATAAAATAAGTAAGTTACAGTCTATAGCTTTTTTGTGGAATAAGCTCTGATTTCCAGAGATACATGTTTACAGTGTGTGTGTGTTTGCATGTGAAATGCATGCATGTGCTCAATGTTTTTCCCTTACTTAATCCTTTCCATTAACTTCTGATATTAGGATTTGGAATCTGCTGTCGGTACTAACTAGGGAAGAGTTGGTACCAAAGATGTAATTCTGATTTCCCATTCCACAACTTTGTCTGTGATCCATAGACTATGACTCTGAAAAGTAGGATGCTGGTTTTAATACTGATTTTCCTTCTCTTCTTCATCTCTCAAAACACAGTAGTCTGTCCCAGAATCAGAATTTTATACAAGACAGTTGTAAAATGTGAACTCCTGGCCTTCACTCCCAATTTCCTGAATCCAAAATCTGCAAGGATGGAGCTCCCTGGTCTGCATTTATAACAAGTGGCTTTGGAGATTCCAGGGTGCAGGCAAGTTGAAGAACCATTGCCCTGGGGCTCTCTGTTAGCAGGAAAGGTACGTTGTGAAAGGTCCCTGGGTGGAAAACTAGCAGCTAAATTCAGTACTTTTCCTATTATGGCCATGTGCTTTCGGAATTGGTTTCCTCTCCCAGAGCAACAGAGCACGAGCATTTTAGATTTTAGGGCATAGGGAAAGAGTTTCTGTGACTCAGCGAAGCAGCATGCATTGCATGCATTGTGACTGCCTTACGCAATAGGTAATTCCATTGTTTGAATGAGCACTTTAAAAAATAAGTATTATTTTCCTAACTGTTGAGTGAAATAAGTCAAATAAAATATGTAAAAGTAAAATCCTTTGTAACGCACCTGACAAACTAGTGATAACTACTGTTAACATATATGTATATATCCCTATTTATAGCAATAATTGGGCTTATATTCCTCATGCTGTTTTATATCCAGCTTTTGCATTTAAATTTACATTTTACATATTTGAATACAAAAGGATTAGAATTAGAAAACAACAAATTTTAGTCACAAAACGTTCTTTTAATATATTCTTGAAAGATGTTGTATTGATACTGATTTTAGCCTTATACCCTGAATACTATGTCAAAACCATTATCAAGTGGAAAAAATAATCCCTTCATGAGCTGTGACTAAAATAACTATCTTAGTAGCTGGTTCTTCCCAGAGTAATGACCTATTTCTAATCCTTTTCCCTGCTCCTCTCTCTCTGCCTTTCTCTTTCTCTCTCTTGCATTAAGAACCATGCAAAATATTTTTTATTATTATTACTTGAATTTTGTATTTTAGTATAGAGAAGCTTATCCAATGTTGATAAAATGGAGCTATGTATGCTCTTTTAAGTATTTTTTCAAATACTAGTGGTTATGGAATATTTATACCCAATAAGGCTACCCATTCAGGGATAGGTAAAATTCCAGTTGCCCCTGCCACGTCAAAAACTTTTTTAAAAAACAACCTTTTTCCTAACATAAATAGGTTTTTCTTTTTCTTTCTTTCTTTCTGGGGGAGAAAAAAATTGGTGCATGGGGGAAAAGTGATCATATAGGGAATTCTTGGTTATGTCACTATTCTAAATGATTTGCAGATACAATATCATTTAATTCTCACAAACTTCTTATAAAAATAGTATTAATACTCTCACTTTACAGAAACTGCAGCCCAAGTACCCTCAGCCTATAAGCTTCAGAGCAAGGATTTATACCCAGAGCTGTCTGGATTAAAATGCGTGCTCTTTCCCACTCTGTGATGCTGAAAGGTTGGAGGCCGTGGCTCTCCCTGGGGCCCAGGTGCTGGAAACTCTTCATGGGGCTGTTCTGCCCAACACTTTGGAATGCAGGCTCCCTTGAGCAAGCGCTTATTTAGCATAGTTTCACCAATAACCTGTCTGTCTAAGGTAGTCAGCGACTATTAAAATTGTCCTAATCATAAAACAGCACTCAGTCAACCGTGCAGCCTCCTTACTGAGCGGGAGGCGAATAGCTCACTTTCCCTGGAGGGCCTGAGAAAGATCAGCTTACAGGCGTCAGCATGGGGTGTGACCCTTCTTCCTTCTCTCCATCTTGACTCTAGCACGTGCCTCTGGTGACCATCATCTCACATTAGCCCAAGTTTGGGCAGAAAATGTTAACAGGGCCCTTTTTCTCCCCCACTCAAAGCATACTCAGTCCTTTCACTGACCTGGCTTCTGATTGGAGGCTGGTTGCTTCGTATGATGACCTCCAGGACCCCTCTGTGGGTTACAGCCTGTTGGTATGGCTTTTACCACAATTTAAGACGCCTGCAGTGGGTTGTGAGGAAAAGGAAAAGACAGTATCTTCACATCCCTAGCTACCAGAAGCTCAGAAGACTGACAGTGTTCCAGCTATCTGCATGGGCCCAGGGCTGGCAGCTGCCCAGGTGTCTCTTCCAGGCAGAATGCTTGCTGAAATAAGGGATCTTTTTCAGTATGTTGCCTGCTTCTTTGCCTTTTTCTCTACCGGGTTCTTGGTTGTGGCCACCTGGACAGACTGTTGGATGGTGAATGCCGATGACTCCCTGGAGGTAAGAAGTCAGCAACTTCTTTTTCTGATCCAAGCCCACACAAATTTTCTCCCAGCCCCACTGCCTCCGTATGTTTACTAGGACTAATGACAGAAATGATAGCCAACATGGACAGACTTGCTCCTTACTTACTACTTATTGAGTTTCTACGTTATTAACTCATGTGATTCTCACAGCTAATTTATGAGGTAGGTATTGTTGTCATCCCATTTTACAGGTGGGGTAACTGAATAATCCCTCTTTTTTCAGAAGGATAAATTCACACAGGGGTAATTATGTAATCTCTGCCACTGAGCATTCAGAAATTCACTTCTTCCATTGCTGCATACCAAACCGAATAAAGTTCCAGTAGCATACTTTCTCTCAAATATAAATTTGCTAATCTTGATGACAGCATTAAGAGTAATGTGATAGGCTTTCTTAAGACATAATAATAGTCTGAGAAATCAAACTTGAGGCATATAAAACCTACTCAATTAGTATGCAATAGAAAAATGTTATTTTAAGGAGTTCCCAAGTAGGAGAAAACATCCCAAGGGATGACAAGCCATTTCAGTCTGTCCCAAAGTACAGTGGGCAGCTAAGAAACCCTCTCTCAAAAATGAGTTGCTCTTGGGAACCAGCTGTTATACAAGAGACGAGTGAGCAGTTTATGTTTGAAGAGTTTACTTTTCTCACTGGAGAAGCTCAGAAAGAAGTAATTTTGAAGTTTAAAAGTGTTTCCTGTGGCTATAGGTATCTGAGAGAGGTAGAACCAGAGTGAAAATCAAACTTCAGAATCAGTTACTGTTCATTAGTAAGGTTTCAGAAGGTGTTGGTAAGAAAAAGAAAGCATGTATCAGGAGCTCAAATAAAGAGAATATAGCAACTCAATATGCTCTCCTATGTATATCCTGAAGGGAACAATTTACTCTAATAAATGCTATAATGTCACTTCTGTGAAGTTTAAGGAAGATACCCGACAGTGAGTTTATATATTTTTTCTCCTAATTTTATTTATTAGACTCTCAAGTTGGAGTTAGAAATGGAAAGTAATAATCTTCCTATTTTGATGTGTATTATGTTTGCTGTTTATTTTTTTCTTGCTTTTAATTTTCCTCTGACGTCTACATGGCAGTTCAAAACCAATGGAGTTATAAACACTTCTTTAATGCTATATTTCTGAAAATTGTGAGAGAATTGAAACACTATCTACTATACATGAGTCCAGTGATGCATTTTATCTGGCCAGGCATATAAGTGGGCAATGAAAAAACAATGCTCTTTGAACAGTGCTCAGAGAAAAGTGCAGATAAAAGTATCTGTGCCATTAGCTTGCTGGAATCTGGACTGCCAATAGTGGGTGACTAACACCAAAATACATTGTACTTGATCACACTTAAAATTATGTTTTTAAAAATTTGCAAAATCTCATCTAAAAGCATGTTAAAATATTTTCTAAAACAATTTCAAAATCTTTCTGCTTAAACTGATGGAATAGCTAACTTCACTTGGTAAGGAATGGAGGTTTAGAAAGGGTCAAACCTTGCTAAGAGAGATTGGGAGTCTGGCATTTAAAGTGCCTTCTTGCTTTCATTTCAGTACATCCAACCAATTTGCCATCCGCTCTGTGCAACACTTCTAGTTAAAATGAATGGAATGAGCAGTCCAGGTTATTCACCTCGAGTAAATCCTTGCTAACCTTGGACAAGAGTTAGTGAGTATTTCTTAGCTTCTTTCTTATTTCCCATTCTTGAAATGTATTTCCATAAATATTCCCCAAGAAATCTCCACATTAAAAGAAGAACCTTGTAACAAATGAGGCCCCCTTTCACCCAACAATCTCTTTATTTGTCAATATTTTTAAAGATACAGGGAACTCTCATAATAATTGCTCCTTTGGTTGGCCAGCATATCAAGTCATACTATTATCCATAAACTTCAGTGTTCTGATCCTCACTGACTCAATTATACTGTTCTCTCTCCTTGCTTCCCTTCTCATGTGTATATCATCTTTGGTCCATATTACCAGCTTACTTTAAATGATTATTGGACAAAATTGACACAAAAATGCTTCAAAAAATCATACCCATGGAAAATTTTTAAAAAGGAGTATTATGAATTTTCAGCTTTGTTAATATTTTAAGGTGATATAGGCATCAAAGTTGGAACATGGATTCTGTAGTTCAATTTGACATAACAAACGTGAAATGCATGTCATATAAAAGGTACAGGGTTAATCCTACTAGAGGAGACAAAGATAAAGCTAGAGGGAGTCCTGCCTTCCAGGAGGGTCCATTTAGGGAGGAAAAAAGATACACATGAAGCTATGATAAAAACGCAGAAGCCAATTCATATTTGAGAAAGAAATCAACATGGTACCACTGGAGCAACGAAGATGGAATGATTATTCCGTCAGGGACATTGAAGCAGGCCACAGGGAGGAAAAGGCGTTTGAGCAAAACCCTGAAAAGATGCAGAGGATTTCAAAACGTAGAAACGACAGCAGCAGCCTTCCAGACAAGAGGACACATAGCAGAAGAACAGAATGGGGAAAAGCTCCAGGCTGCTTAGAGGATAAGGTGAGCAACAGGCAGCACGAGGCAGAAAGAGCTCAAATATTCTTTTGTCTTACACAGAATACTCAAAAGACTACGAAATATTATTTTACCTGCCCTGAAGTTCTTTACATCAAGTAAAAATGTTAGGAAAAAAGAAATAGCACCTGGAATTGCAGTGTACACAGCTCTAAACCAGGGACCTGGGGCTCTAAGTCATCATGCCGTTGTCATTACTGATTCACTTGTGTCTCTGGAAGACTGATGTGGTGATGAGAACTTGGATTTTGAGATTATTTCAGCCTGTGTTCACATCTTAACTGTCTTCTGTTGAGCAAGTCACAGCTCATGTCTCCAGTTCGGTTTCCTCAATTATAGGCAAAGTTGAACTCAGTTACTTTAAGATCTTTTTTAGTCTTTACATTCTTTAACACCAGGACTCCTTGACTTTGACCATGTCTGCAATCCCAGAGAGACAGCTAATCACTGAAGGACCAATAGCATCTAGAGCTTCCCCAGAAATTTCCACTGGGACTCTGGTATGAAGATTCTTGACTTTTCTGTAACTTCATATGCTCTTTCTTCCTTTCTCCCACACTCTTTCTCTCCTTACTGTTTTTCTTCCTCCTTCCTTGCCTCCATCCTCTTTCTTTTTTTCTTCCTCTTCTTTCTTCTTCCTTCTTCCCTGTTCCCTTTCCTCCCTTTTCTATCCCTTACACTCTTCTCCTTTCTTCTTTCTCTTTCCTCCATTTCTCCTTCATCTCTTTATCCCTCCCTTTCTCTCTCCCTTTTTTCTTTTCTTTCTATCTTACTTTATTCCACAAATTGTCTTTGACACCTGCTGTCTACCTGGTACTGTGGTAGGTTCAAGGTTATGAAGGAGGATGACACCTGGATCTCTCTTAAGTTGCTCCCAGCATATTGAGGGAGACCGACAGTGAACTGATTGCTACAGTATGATATGACAAGAGCTGTGATGACCAATAACTCTGAGTGGCCTGATCACCCAGTCTTGTATAAACAGTGAAGGCTACTTAGAAGAAGAAATATCTAAACTAGTACTTGAAGGACAGGAGAGTAAGGTGGGAGAAGCAGAGAGTATTCCAAGCACAGGAAATAGTATGGGCAGAGATCCAGGTATGAGAGCACTGTGTGTTCGTGACTTTGGACGTGTTTCAGCATGAGAAGAGTTTCCAATGCAGGGAGGAGAATATAGGAGCTGAGTCATCAAGGGCTTTGTGTACATGTAAGATATAGATCGTATGCCATAGACAAGGGCGCTTCACTGTAAACAAACATAGAAAGGTCAATCAATCTGGCTACTTGTGAAGAATGGTTAGAAAGGGTAAGATGAAGTATAGGGAGACAAGTTAGGAGGCTTTGCCATAAAATAAGAGGGAAACAATGATGGTCTGAACCAGTGCAGAAGCAAGCATGAAGAGACATGTGAAGATATGGGAAAACTCTAAAGAACACCAATTGATAGGATTTCTAATTGACTGCATGTGGGGAAAGAAGAATGATGAAGAGGGAGAAGTCAAGGCTGAAATCCACTTTACTGTTCTTGGGCAATTGGAGGAATGCTCACCTAGAGCTTAAATGGAAGAAAATGAGTTTCTATACAGAAGTCATCAAGCAGCAATGTCCCTGGACCATCCCACTATTGTTTTCATACTTTGATTATGACACAGACCTTGGGGAGCCAAGAATACAATGCTTTGTAGTGGAGAAGTTTACAGGTTGGACTTGATGTTGGAGAGACCTAACCAGGCAGTGGCTGTGTGAATTTAGACAGACGTTTAAATTGCTATAAACCACATTTCCTCTTCTGTAAAGGGAGAATAATAATATGCACATCATAAGTGTCTTACGAGGATTAAATGAGTTTGTATCTCTAAAGCATTTACCACAGTACCAGGCAAATACAAATCAGTCAATAAACATTAGATATATTATTGTCTATTTGCAGTTTGTTGTTTTGTTTTTGTTCTGGAGGAGGAGATGACATTTTATATAATTTTCACTGAAGGGAGAGATATGAGATGTAAGTTCTATTCCTATTTTCACTATTGATTCTCTTGGAGAAATTTTGTTTATTTCTCTGAGTAGTGGTTTGCTCATTTTTATATTTATGACTGTTACTTTTCTGTCTAACCAAAAGAACAAGACAGATAATAGAGACAAAATGGCATGTTATCTATTATATATATTTTAAAAAGAAAAATTATGGGTTAATAACATTATTGATATGTTAATTGTATCATAAGATATGTCCTTCTTAATTATCCACATTGAAATAGAGAGGTAATTCCTTCTGGGAACAAAGTTACTGGTTTCTCAGTTATCGGGACTGAAAAGATGTTTTTATAAGATTATTCCATTTTTAGTTAATCTTTTGTTAATTATTTACTGAGAACCTTCTATACAGCAAGCGCGGTTGTGACTAAAATTTTATTACCTCAA